GAACTTATTCGAATTCTTTGAATTTTCCGGCTAATTTTTTGACAGCCGAAAGATAGGCTTCCATTCGAGGAGCCTTAGCTTCGTAATCTCCAGCGAACTGGTTTACAACTAGCTGAGAATCACAATAAGCTATTATTTTTTCTGCTCCAATTGCAAGAGCAAGCCGAAGTCCTGCTAAGAGAGCTTCGTATTCCGCTTCATTGTTCGAAGCCGGGAACATTAATCGAAATGATTGTTCGATTATTTCCTTTGTCGGAGTTTCGAGCCTAATACCGATTTCGGATCTTTGTTTAGAAGAAGAGCCATCTACATGTAATTTCCATGTGGCATCCGTTTCAATAAGGATTCCATCATCTAATGGTAGTTTGGTTAGAAAATCAGCCAGAACTTGTGCTTTTGCGCTAGTTCGACTTTTGTATTCTATATCGTACTCACTGAGTTCGATTGCCCATTTCGCCAATCTACCGGACTGACTTGGACCGTGAAGAATTGAGCGAAGTGGATGAGAAGTTAAAACTTCTATCGGATGAGATTGGAAATAAGGTCTGAGTTTTCTAGCAGATATGACTACTGCTAAAGCTAATTTTTCCATCATGTTATATCTCGTTTCTGGACTAGTAAGAGATTTACTTATGTAGAAAATCGGCTTTTGTTCACCTCGGTCCTCTCGAACTAAAACCCTACTTACAGAATGATTAGAAACTGAAATGTAAAGGTAAAGTTTCTCATCTGACTCAGGTTTTGAGAGAACCGGCGGTGTTGTCAGATAAGTTTTGAGTTGACTAAATGCTGCTTCGCATTGATCATCCCACCGAAATTTTTTGTTTCCTTTTAAAATTTGATAAAAAGGGAGACATTTATCGGTAGATTTCGAGATGAAACGATTTAATGCAGCAATTCTGCCCGTCAATCGTTGGACCTCTTTAATGTTTTTTGGCGAAGGCATTGTGAGGAAAGCGTTAATCTGATTAGGATTTGCTTCTATTCCTCTTTCCGTGACTATGTACCCCAGGAATTCTCCGGAAGGCACACCAAAAGAACATTTAGCTGGATTTAATTTCATTCCGAACTCATTCAAAATTTTGAAACATTGTTCGAGATGAGTGATGTGCTCGGATTTCTTAAGAGATTTTACGAGCATGTCATCTATATAAACTTCCATCGTTTTGCCCAAATGTTTTGCAAACATTTTGTTAACTAAACGTTGGTATGTTGCCCCGGCATTTTTTAAACCGAATGGCATAAGTTTATAACAGTAGATTCCTCTATGTTTTCTCTTCATCTTCGGGATTCATCATGATCTGATTATATCCAGAAAATGCATCCATGAATGTTAAGAGTTCATTTCCGGCCGTTGATTCTACGAGCCGTTCGATATGAGGGAGAGGAAAACTGTCTTTTGGACATGCTTTGTTAATGTCAGTGAAATCGACACATACTCTCCATTTTCCATTCTTCTTTTTGACTACCACGGGGTTTGCTAACCAGTCCGGGTACTTTACTTCCCTAATGGAACCAATTTTCAAAAGCTTATCAACTTCGTCATTGACCGCTTGAGCTCGGTCAAGACCCAGTTTTCTTCTTTTCTGCTTTCTTGGTTTAAAACTGGGATCGACGTTTAAATCATGGGTAATGATACTTTTGTCGATTCCGGGCATATCTTTTGCCGACCAGGCAAAAGTATGTTTATTTTCCTTTAGAAATGTTACCAACTGATCTTTGATTTCTGAATCTAAAGTAGTACCGATTTTTACTTTTCGATCAGGAAATTCGGAATCAATTTCAATTTCTATGGTAACTTCATTCGAACTGAGACCACTTGGGTAACGCGAGGTGCTTTCTTGCTTCGCGTTTATCATTAATTGCTATTTGAGCTTTAAGCGATGTCCCATGAGGTAGCAAGAACGCGATGTTTCCTGATCTCCTCGAATGGTTCCGATTCCTCCAAGAGTCGGAAATTTCACGCATTGGTGATAAGTTGAAGGTATAGCCTTCATTTGGTATATCCACGGAGTTCCGAGAATTATGTTGTAAGCGGCCGGTCGGTCGAAAACAATGAATTCTACGATCTTTGGAACCCCTGCGGCGAGTACTTGTAGTTTTATGTTTCCTAAGGACATAGATGTGTCACTTGTGAAAGCTACCAATGGTGCTGGTGGACCGATAATGTTGGCTTTACTGATTCCCATTCTTTGCAAAGTGCTTAGAAATATGAGATCTACCGAGCTTCCAGTATCAATTAGGCACCTTGTCACTTCGAAGTTCGCAACATCTAAAGTTATCACAAGAGCATCGTCGTGAGGTCCTGTTAATCCTTGAGTGTCCGAATTGTCAAAAGAGATAGAAGGTGTTTGTTCATTTGAATGAAAACCCACAGCGGTTTGGATTGCTGCTGATTTCTTGTGCCTTTTGATTGATCTGATCGAATCTCGGCATAATTTGGATCCTCCCATTATAACATCGATCCTTTTCTTATGTTTGGAGTGTTCGGAGTTCCGGGCCCATTGGGCTTATGTTTCTTTTCAGGAGGATTAGAAGCTTCAGAATCTTCTTTTTCTTTGTGATAAGATTCCACAAATTCCTCGATATTGAAATTAGCGAGCTCTCCAGCTGCCCACAGTTCGGTGAGGTACTTTTTGAGTACGCTACAATCTTTGGTGGAGTGCCCGTTTACTCTGTGAATATCGCAATAGGCACTCTCATCTCTAACCCAAGTATTAGGAGGATTGTATCTTCCTCTGCTTGGGGAGGGTTTCCCTACAGCATTAGTAGCATGATTAACTCCGAACCGTTTTTGATCTTTTGGTTCGAACTTTTTAGTTGGATTTCTAATGACCAATTTTGCTGGCCGATGCTTTTTAGTGAGGCTAAACTTTTCTTCTTCTGCCTCCATCCAATTAGTAGCTCTGAATAAAGCATCTTGGATGGTGCTTGGACGATTGACGATGATTTCTTCCCGAAATCGGGATTCTTGCCAAAGTCTGTTCCTTAAGGCAGAAAGGGCAGTAGCGTGCGATACCCCAGGAATTTTGGCTATCACTTCTTTGAATTTAGCGATATATTTGCGAAGTGGTTCATTCTGACCTTGGGTTAAATTCCAAAGATATGCATCAGAGGTTGCCTTTTCCATGAACATGGAATACTGTTTTAGGAATGCAGAGGACAATTCCTTAAAACTATTAATAGTTCCAGGCTCCAACTGAGTGAACCATAGTAGAGCTAATCCGGATAGATTCTCGGAGAATAGTTTGCAATATCCGGCATCTTCCTCGTTTGGTTCTAGATCGATTCTGCCAGCAGCGATCTGAAAATCAGCAAGGTGATTTTTAGGATCTCCTTTACCATCATAAGTTGGTAATTTGACCTTTCGAGAATCCTTGATCCGAAGGTTCGAGATTCTCGAGGTGAACAGTGTTCGCCGAGTTTCTTCGATTACTCGATCGATCTTAGGCGCCGAACTGGTCGCCTGATGAAACTTTGACTTCATTTCATCAAGCTCTTGACGAACTTTGACGAAATCATCTGAAAAGGTGACATCGGAATTTTCCATAAGGAATCCGTCGTCAATAGCAGGATTTCCCTGATCCTGGAGAATTCCTTCCCCGGTTAGGTTAGTCCCATCCCCTACGGCTGCCTGATTGCTAATACTAGCGGGTTGGCCTGCAGGAGGAGTTTGGGTATTCCCGGTCCTGTTTTGTGCGGGAGTTACGAATAGCCTACGCTGACGTGCTGCTACTGAAGGCAAAGTATCTAAATGGCTTGAAACAACGTTCTGCGCGTTTGACAAATCTGCCTGAGTGGTTTGAACACTCGTCAAAGTTTGCTCGATTCAATTCAACCTTTCACTAAAAGCGGTGTTGGCATCAACGAGTGTACCAATCTGAGTGGTCAGACTAGTGGTTGTCTGATTAAGCAAGGTAATTGCATCGCTCAAAGCTTGCTGCTCAGTCATAGTTTCTTGGTTGGGAAAGAAGGATTTTGAGATTAAAGAGTTTTGTGGTAACTCCCCACAGACGGCGCCAAAATGTGGATGTAGGATTCACACTCAATTGTCTTTAAGTATTTTAGTTGAGAAAAACTCTTAAAATCAACGAATGAATATAAGAATTCGAAAGGGAAATTAACCAAGAAAATAATAAAATAAAAGAATTTTGATAAGAACGAAGTACAAAAGGCCTTGCGAAATTGTAAGAGAAAAAAGTATGTTGTATTGCTTGGTAGTAGTAAGTAAAAAGATGTCTCTCCTCAAACACATGCGTTTGAGGTTGTTTTTATAGAGAAAATATGATTAATGCGGCTATTTACTACTCCTAATCATATTGATCCGCATTAATCATATAAGTTACATTTTGACCGAAACGGCTTGAACTTGAACTGTCTTGGGCTTCACATGGGCCTTCCGAACTCTTTCTTGCTGACTTTGAACTCCCGTGCTTTGATGCTACTGCGAGCCTCGAACAATATTCTCCTCGCTTCGGCCTTTCTCTATGCGAACTGTATGTTGAATAAGAGCGAACTCCAGACTGGTAAAGATCGAACTCTTTTAGTAAACTGAATCGAACTCCCAACTGGTCAAGTCCAATAAAATATCTAGAAATCCGAGAGGATTATTATGTAATAACGACGTGGACAGATCCAAGTGGATCCTACCGAAAATGTGGGATCCGACCCCAACAGTCATCCATCTCCGCTTGAGTGTAATCCGTGGGCATTACAGGTCCTAGCTACGTTTCCGCCATCTCCTCATCATTGTGCTCAATTGCAACCCCAGCAGGTTGTGGAGCTCGGCGATCATGCGATCTCCTTCTTGACATTACTCGCCCTTTGCTTGATGAACGAACTATCTTCACATTCTTCCTCTTCTTGTGGTCTCTCGTCTCATGAGACGAGTGCCATACGGGTTCTTGTGGGGCGGCGCGTTCTCTTTGTTGATAGGTGGATTGCCTTGGCGGGGCTATGTCATGGCGTCTGGATGGCATGTCTTCGGGCGGGTTGTCTCTTGCGACAGCAGTAGTCGATGATGTGCAGCTGAGGGCCTTGATACACTTTTTGATGATCTTGTCCTGAAACTTGCACCATTTCTGAGCTAGACTGAGCTTCCGGTGTGAATCAGCGAGACTCTTGCTTTCTCGTGAAGGAGGCTTGTGTTCTTCGAAGTGGAACCTGCTTGTGTCATAGTTCTCCCAGCTAATCTCTTCATTATCGCTCTGTTCTTCTACTTCTTCAGCAACGTTTCTGGATGAAGAGCCTCCAATCACAGCATGGAGGGTTTCGATGGGTGGCGAGAAGTCAATGTTGTCTCTCACCGTGATGGTCATCATTTCGCGGAATGGAATGAGGAATTGTGCATCTCCTACCGCCGGATGGTCAAACTTGTAGGCGTATCTCTTGTCATGCATTTGGTGCGCGATCACATGGGCAAGCTTTAAATGGGCAATGTTCATCCACCTTGGTTCAGTCGGAGCCGATGTCAAAGGGACTTCACAAAATTGGAGAATTGGTGTCACCACCCCTCCAACGCAAAGCGCTCCTTTTACTCTCTTCTTGCTATTGGATAAGGCCCACCCTCTGTAGCTGCATAGGTGGTTGAGAAGATACATGGACGGAGGTGTGTCGCTTGTATCGCCTCTCATCGTCTCGCCATTCTTGGTGTAACGGAGGAAACTCTTCAACGCCAAGTCCAACGTCTCCATGTCTGGGTTGGTCAAGGTAGCGGATATACTTCTAGCATAAGGGACATTGGCCAGGGCTCGTTGGAAGTAGCGGATAGCCGGATTGCGGATAGAGTTGCTCGTAGACCTGGCGGAACTGAAGGTGGTGTCATCTCCGATTTTGTTCCACAACGCCTTAATCTCATCTCGTATGAACTTTGGTTTCGTTCCCGTGCCACTAGGAAACCCGAACATGTCTTCCAACGTTTTGATGGTCATGACGTAGTCGCGGCCGTCAATGGTGAAGCTCAAGTATCCCAGTCCTTCTTCTCTCAATTCTGCAGCTGACAGCCCTTTAAACAACTCCACTTGAACAGTCGAAAGGAATTGAATGGTCTCATAATCATAAGCAGGGTAAGGATGAGACAATAGCGTCGCCATGTGACACTTCTCGAACAGCAGCTCAACGTCCTCCAGAATTCCAAGATCCTTCATGGTCTCCGGATGGGGATACCTTGTTCTCCAAAAAGGATTTCTCTTGAAGAGGTTGTAGTAATCCTCAGGAGTGAGCTTATCTTCTTTCATCAGCGACTTGGTGGTCTTGCGGACTGGTTCTGGAGCATACTCTGCATCATCCTCCATGTCTTCATCGATGAGCTCATACCGCTCTGTCATTGACCGCTTCCTTCTTGCGATTTCTCTTCTTCTTCGGTCCTCAGCAACCCCTAGTTCTGTTTCTTCCACGAACCGCTTATACTCTTCTGCTTCTCTTTCCGGCCTAGTTGACCAAGATTCAACTTCTTCAACATTGAAGTCAGCATCCATGGATGATTCGTTGCTGTGCGCACTCATCTTGAAGCTGAAATCGATTTGAAACTCACAACTAAAGCTTAGTAGGTTAGTGAGAAACAAACAAAGGGAATGAGAGAAGTGACTTCCAGTTGTAACAGTGTTGCGATCGTGTGGTTTACGGGACGAGAGACGGATCCAAAAGCATGGTCGAGTGATTTCTGACAAAGATGTGATTGAGTGCTTTGGTGGTCTAGGCTGCTCGAGTTGCGATCTAGCGATTTTAACGCTCTGTTCTAAAGAATAACACTTGAAGCAAAGGAATAATTGAGAGCGTTTTTGGTGATTAAGTAGAGAGATAAACTAGAGAGATGTTTTGAAATCGCAAGTGATGCAGAAAAGTGAAGAGTAGTGATACTTATCTCCCTTTGGCGATTTGAATGTGTGGAGGAGGTGTGTTGCCTTTAAATGGACGGATGGGATGGAATCACCCTTTATGATGTCCGCATGATGGGTCTGCTTTAATCCACGCGCGTTGTGATTGAGTATGGGCCGTTAATCCTTCACTTGTGTGTCATGGGCTACAGGGGGACACAACTTGGGCCTTTTTGGAGTGTTGGTGTAGATTTAAATCCAGTGGACTTCATGGATGCATGGGTTGTCACTGAAGTTCTCGTCGGACACTTTCACCTACCCTTGCGATCGAGTGAAATGGGTTAGCCAAATAAATGACCACTCGATCTCACCAAATGTGTGTTGCAATCGAGGGGTTTGAAAACATTGTTGAAAAGGATGTGATCCAGAACCGCTAGATCGCATGCCCGAGCTCTCCACTTCTACGTTGCGATCGAGTGGTTTAGTAAAAATTGAAAAAAAAAAAATTCAACACTCAATCGCACACTTGTCTATTACTCCATATGCTATTTATTTCCTGAGAAGGAAAGACACAACCAAAACACATCAAAAATACCTAGAAAATAAAAAAGTATATACAAGGATAATCATGGGACTTCCTCCCAAGTGAGCTTGTTTAGAGTCTCAAGATTGACTCCTCACACTTATTAGGCTGAAAAAATATGACAGAGAGAACTTGAGAAGTCCTCTTCTTCACTGATCTCATCGTCATACTCAGCATCCTCCCTTGATAATTGTGCAGCTGAGTACTTAATTCCTCTTTCCTCAAAGTAAGCTGCTTCTTCTTCTCATGAATGGTCTCTTTCTTCTGACCATTCCGAAGTGACTTTTCCAATTGAAGTAACGTCAATGTTGGGCTGAGGTTGAACTCCCCTTTGAATATGACTTAGTGTGTCTTTAAGCTTTTCAACAGTGTGGGTCAGCTTCTGAATGATTCTTTCTTGGAGATTAGATTTCTTTTTGAGCTCTCGCCAATCAAGCGCTGAAGGTATACTCGATTGAGCGATTGAGTTTGAAGGTTGAGTCTGGACTAGAATTGGTTCCTTCACTTTTGCAGCCTCAAATCCTTCTCCTGGAACCGCTATCTGAATCTCCAAGGTCTTTCCCTCTGTTGTTGGCCTTGTTGGAGTTTTGTTGATGTCAAACTGCAACTTGACATGCCTCCCAAGGTTGAGATACCATATCTGACATCTATTACTGCTCCCATTGAGGCCAAGAAAGGTCTTCCTAAGATTAGAGGATCCTTAGCTTCTTCATCCATGTCAAGCACAACAAAATCAGTAGGCACCTCTACTCCGTTAATCATTACTGGCACATCCTCCAGCAGGCTAAAAGGTCTCCTTGAAATCCTATCTGCAAGAATCAAGGTAATGTCACAAGGCCTGTACTGGACGAATTCCAACTTCCTCGCCACTGAGAGTGGCATTAGGCGACTGAAGCTCCTAGATCACACAGACAATTGTTGAAAGTCGATTGCCTGATGGAGCATGGCAGAGTGAAAGATCCAGGATCTTCCAACTTTTCTTGAACAATCCTCTCATCAGTGGCTTGAGTTGGATTGGCTTCATATTCATCACCTGAATCTTGATATATGTTGAGCCTTTCCAATATCAAGTTTCTCACATCTCTGTGAGGGTCCGGAATCAGCTTACGAACTTCGATTAATGGCATCACTGCTTCCATCTCGTCAAGTTGTTTCTCTGCAAGAGATTCATATCTGTCTTTCCAAGCCTTCCTGAACGTCCATGGAAGAGCAAGTGAAGGTGATGGAGTTGGCTTGAATCGTTTTACCATCCTCTCAATTATAGCAGCTTTCTCTTCCAAGGCAGACTGAGTCTGATGGCGAGGTTGAGCTGAATAGTCGAGCTAAACAACAGAGATCTCAATCTGAGTAGAAGCCTCCCCTTTTTGAACTTTACTGTCCTCAGTGATTGATTTAGGAGCATGTCGAGTTGGCAGCTCTCGATCATGGCATATAGTGATGGCGTGAGCAGTGGCATACTCCTTTGGGTTCTGGATTGCTTTCCCTGGAAGCTGGCCTGGGTTGTTGGAAACGGATGTTGAAATAGGATTGCCTTCCAGATAGCGCAGTCTAGTGCTCAATGATTCAAACTTGCTGTTAAGATCATTGAAGTTGCGGTCGACTTTGTTGTTTAATTCAGCCATCTTCTTTGCGATTTCCATCGCTCTTGTGGCTTGTCCTTGAAGTATCTGCTGGGCCAAGTTTTTTATATCAGGATCTTGAGGCGAAGGTGCTTGAAGTTGCTGTGATGGATAACCAGGTGGTGGTTGCTGTTGTTGATATCTTCCCTGGAACTGCTGTTTTGGAACGAACCCTTGACCTTGGTTGTACGGAACAAACGGTTTGGGTTGTTGTTGCTGCTGCTGCTGAGAAGGATAAACTTGGTCTTGAGGGTTGGCAACGTTGGTGCTTCTGTATGACAGATTCGGGTTTGGTCTGTAGTTGTTGTAACCCTTGTTGTAGCCACCTTGGTTCTGAATGTAACTGATTTCAGCAGACTGATCATTCTCCCCCTCTTGGACTTGGAATAGTTCATCTTCAGAGACAAAGTGAACATGCGTCTGTTGCACTTGGAGGAGCTTGTCTAGTTTGTCATTGAGAGCTTTCATCTCTCTACGGTGCTTGTCATCAGTTTCAGGACTGGTGCGGATGCTTCTGTCATAATCCTCGTTGTAATTGCCATCCGACTGAGCTAAGTTTTCAACGAGCTCCCATCCTTCGGCAACGTCTTTGTTGAGGAAGCTCCCATTGGAAGCGGTATAGAGCAGCATCCTTATCTTGGGAAGGACGCCTCTGTAGAATATGCTGAGAAGAGAAGCTTTTTCAAAGCCGTGATGAGGGCATTTGGTCTGATAACCTTTGAAGTGCTCCCATGCTTCACAGAAGGTTTCAGCATTCTTCTGAGTGAATCCGGATATCTCATTCCGGGGTCTTGATGTTCTGGAGTTGGAGACAGTAATCCCAGGTTGTGATTGAACCCTGGGGTAGCGTCTTTTCCCACAGATGGGCTTTGTCTCCAAGTGAGAATGGAAACAAGCGAAGCTTGAAACCATCTTCACTTACTCCATTGATTTTAGTAAGGCCACAGAGCCTTTCAAACTCGTCAAGATGATCAAGCGGATCCTCCATTGGCAAGCCGTGAAACTTGTTCCCCTGAACCATTCCAATGAGACCGCTCTTGATCTCAAAGTTCTTGTTCTGGACTGGGGGAGGAACAATTCCATGACGCTGGTTGTAATTGTGTGGGAAGTCACCAGCACCAATGTTATTGGGTTGGTCTTGGTTATCTACAATGTCAGCCATTGTGTCTGTTGCTGTCTGTT